ACTTCTTATTTAACTTACCACTTAGGATTACACGTAGCCTACCTATTTTACCATGCGCTTGCCCTACTAGAAAGTTAATCGTCCCTTCACAGTTTATATATTCTAGTCTATAGTCTAATCTATAGTCTAGTTTATAGTCTAGTCTAGTCCTAATTAACCTACTCTATAATTAACTCTATAGTCTAGTCTATAGTCTAGTGTAGTATATAGTCTAGTCTATAGTCTAGTGTAGTATATAGTCTAGTGTAGTATATAGTCTAGTCTATAGTCTAGTCTATAGTCTAGTCTATAGTCTAGTCTATAGTCTAGTCTAAGTAGTCTAGTCTATAGTCTAGTCTATAGTCTAGTCTATAGTCTTGTCTATAGTTGTCTTAGTCTAGTCCTAGTCTAGTCTATAGTCTAGTCTATAGTCTAGTCTAGTATAGTCTAGTCTATAGTCTAGTCTATAGTCTAGTCTATAGTCTAGTCTATAGTCTAGTCTATAGTCTTGCGTCTAATAGTCTAGTCTATAGTCTAGTCTATAGGTCTAGTCTATAGTCTAGTCTATAGTCTAGTCTATAGTCTAGTCTATAGTCTAGTCTTATAGTCTAGTCTATAGTCTAGTCTATAGTCTAGTCTATAGTCTAGTCTATAGTCTAGTCTATAGTCTAGTCTATAGTCTAGTCTATAGTCTAGTCTATAGTCTAGTCAATAGTCTAGTCTATAGTCTAGTCTATAGTCTAGTCTATAGTCTAGTCTATAGTCTAGTCTATAGTCTAGTCTATAGTCTAGTCTATAGTCTAGTCTATAGTCTAGTCATAGTCTAGTCTATAGTCTAGTCTATAGCCTAGTCTATAGTCTAGTCTATAGTCTAGTCTATAGTCTAGTCTATAGTCTAGTCTATAGTCTAGTCTATAGTCTAGTCTATAGTCTAGTCCATAGTCTAGTCTATAGTCTAGTCTATAGTCTAGTCTAGTCTATAGTCTAGTCTATAGTCTAGTCTATAGTCTAGTCTATAGTCTAGTCTATAGTCTAGTCTATAGTCTAGTCTATAGTCTAGTCTATAGTCTAGTCTATAGTCTAGTCTATAGTCTAGTCTATAGTCTAGTCTATAGTCTAGTCTATAGTCTAGTCTATAGTCTAGTCTATAGTCTAGTCTATAGTCTAGTCTATAGTCTAGTCTATAGTCTAGTCTATAGTCTAGTCTATAGTCTAGTCTATAGTCTAGTCTATAGTCTAGTATATAGTCTAGTCTAGTCTATAGTCTAGTCTATAGTCTAGTCTATAGTCTAGTCTATAGTCTAGTCTATAGTCTAGTCTATAGTCTATATAGTCTAGTCTATAGTCTAGTCTATAGTCTAGTCTTAGTCTAGTCTATAGCTAGGTCTAGTCTATAGTCTAGTCTATAGTCTAGTCTATAGTCTAGTCTATAGTCTAGTCTATAGTCTAGTCTATATAGTCTATAGTCTAGTCTAGTCTATACGTCTAGTCTAGTCTAGTCTATAGTCTAGTCTATAGTCTAGTCTATAGTCTAGTCTATAGTCTAGTCTATAGTCTAGTCTATAGTCTAGTCTATAGTCTAGTCTATAGTCTAGTCTATAGTCTAGTCTATAGTCTAGTCTTGTCTAGTCTATAGTCTAGTCTATAGTCTAGTCTATAGTCTAGTCTATAGTCTAGTCTATAGTCTAGTCTATAGTCTAGTCTATAGTCTAGTCTATAGTCTAGTCTTAGTCTAGTATAGTCTAGTCTATAGTCTAGTCTATAAGTCTAGTCTATAGTCTAGTCTATAGTCTAGTCTATAGTCTAGTCTATAGTCTAGTCTATAGTCTAGTCTAATCTAGTCTAAGTCTAGTCTAAGTCTAGTCTATAGTCTAGTCTATAGTCTAGTCATAGTCTAGTCTATAGTCTAGTCTATAGTCTAGTCTATACTTATAGTCTATTGTCTAGTCTATAGATTATTTTATAGTTTCGTCTATAGATTAGTCTATAGTTTAACATATAATGTCTAGTCTAAAGTCTGATCTATAGTCTGGTGTATAATCTAATCTATAGTCTAGTCTATAGTCTAGTCTATAGTCTAGTCTATAGTCTAGTCTATAGTTAGCTATAGTCTAGTCTATAGTCTAGTCTATAGTCTAGTCTATAGTCTAGTCTATAGTCTAGTCTATAGTCTAGTCCTATAGTCTAGTCTATAGTCTAGTCTATAGTCTAGTCTATAGTCTAGTCTATAGTCTAGTCTATAGTCTAGTCTATAGTCTTAGTCTATAGTCTAGTCTATAGTCTAGTCTATAGTCTAGTCTATAGTCTAGTCTATAGTCTAGTCTATAGTCTAGTCTATAGTCTAGTCTATAGTCTAGTCTATAGTCTAGTCTATAGTCTAGTCTATAGTCTAGTCTATAGTCTAGTCTATAGTCTAGTCTATAGTCTAGTCTACAGTCTAGTCTATAGTCTAGTCTATAGTTTAGTCTATAGTTTAGTCTATAGTCTAGTCTATAGTCTAGTCTATAGTCTAGTCTATAGTCTAGTCTATAGTCTAGTCTATAGTCTAGTCTATAGTCTATTCTATACTATAGTCTATTGTCTAGTCTATAGATTATTCTATAGTTTAGACTATAGTTTAGTCTATAGATTAGTCTATAGTTTAACATATGTCTAGTCTAAAGTCTGATCTATAGTCTGGTCTATAATCTAGTCTATAGTCTAGTCTATAGTTTAGTCTATAGTCTTGTCTATAGTCTAGTCTACAGTCTAGTCTATAGTTTAGTCTATAGTCTAGTCTACAGTCTAGTCTATAGTTTAGTCTATAGTTTAGTCTAAAGTCTAGCCTATGATCTAGTCTATAGTCTAGTCTATAGTCTAGTCTATAGTCTAGTCTATAGTCTAGTCTATAGTCTTCTATAGTCTAGTCTATAGTCTAGTCTATAGTCTAGTCTATAGTCTAGTCTATAGTCTAGTCTATAGTCTAGTCTATAGTCTAGTCTATAGTCTAGTCTATAGTCTAGTCTATAGTCTAGTCTATAGTCTAGTCTATAGTCTAGTCTATAGTCTAGTCTATAGTCTAGTCTATAGTCTAGTCTATAGTCTAGTCTATAGTCTAGTCTATAGTCTAGTCTATAGTCTAGTCTATAGTCTAGTCTATAGTCTAGTCTATGTCTAGTCTATAGTCTAGTCTATAGTCTAGTCTATAGTCTAGTCTATAGTCTAATCTATAGTCTAGTCTATAGTCTAGTCTATAGTCTAGTCTATAGTCTAGTGCATAGTCTGGTCTATTGTCTAGTCTATAGTCTGGTCTATAGTCTAGTCTATAGTCTAGTCTATAGTCTAGTCTATAGTCTGGTCTATAGTCTAGTCTATAGTCTAGTCTATAGTCTAGTCTATAGTCTAGTCTATAGTCTAGTCTTTAGTCTAGTCTATAGTCTAGTCTATAGTCTAGTCTATAGTCTAGTCTATAGTCTAGTCTATAGTCTAGTCTATAGTCTAGTCTATATCTAGTCTATAGTCTAGTCTATAGTCTAGTCTATAGTCTAGTCTATAGTCTAGTCTATAGTCTAGTCTATAGTCTAGTCTATAGTCTAGTCTATAGTCTAGTCTATAGTCTAGTCTATAGTCTAGTCTATAGTCTATAGTCTATAGTCTAGTCTATAGTCTAGTCTATAGTCTAGTCTATAGTCTAGTCTATAGTCTAGTCTATAGTCTAGTCTATAGTCTAGTCTATAGTCTGGTCTATGGTCTAGTCTATATTCTAGTCTATGGTCTGGTCTAGGCTTTAGTCTAGTCTATAGTCTAGCGTATAGTCTATAGTCTAGTCTAGTCTATAGTCTAGTCTACAGTCTAGTCTATTGTCAAGTCTATTGTAAAGTATAGTCTAGTCTATAGTCTAATCTATAGTCTAGTCTATAGTCTAGTCTATAGTCTAGTCTATAGTCTAGTCTATAGTCTAGTCTATAGTCTAGTCTATAGTCTAGTCTATAGTCTAGTCTATAGTCTAGTCTATAGTCTAGTCTATAGTCTAGTCTATAGTCTAGTCTATGGTCTAGTCTATAGTCTAGTCTATAGTCTAGTCTATAGTCTAGTCTATAGTCTAGTCTATAGTCTAGTCTATAGTCTAGTCTAGTCTAGTCTATAGTCTAGTCTATAGTCTAGTCTATATTCTAGTCTATAGTCTAGTCTATAGTCTAGTCTATAGTCTAGTCTATAGTCTAGTCTATAGTCTAATCTATAGTCCAGTCTATAGTCTAGTATATAGTCTAGTATATAGTCTAGTCTATAGTCTAGTCTATAGTCTAGTCTATTTTCTTTTTCGGATACATTGACTCTTTGTCCGAACTGCTGGTTGTGTACATACCCATGTATATAATATTTCTTATTTACTTGCAAAAATATGTACATGTTAACGCCAATTTGGCATCTATAATTAAAAATCATTGAAGCGGAAATTGTTCATTTGATAGTTGGTAAATATCCGTTCTATATAAATGCATTGGCAAACAGATATTAAACATAAATATGTATGTATGTATTTTTATATACATATTAACAAACACACCTTGAATTAAATTTGTTTACAATTTTCTTTAGTCCATAAATCTATTTTCACAGCGAGGAAATAGCGTACCATTAAAAATGTAGCTCTAATTACTTGTCAAGGTACGTGGAAGTCTTATAACAGAAAAGATTCAGTTATTCAAAACACCCGATTCTACATCTAGGACAGAACGTTTAAAATAATGGACACATTCTATGAGTGATTCCGATTTACATTTATGAGGAAAACAATACCAACAATAAACGGAAATAACTATTTTTACAACTTTTATAAAACTTGCTAAAAATATATATTTAAAGAAATCATAAATTGCCAATTAAAAGATTTACAACATCCGATTAAAAATAGAAAAACCCTGTGTATATTTTTACCGTTTAAATGTGTGCTCGTTTATTTCTGACAAAAAAGTCTTAACATTTATCGATAAGATTAGTCCATTCCAAAAAAACGATTACTTTTTTTTAGAACTTCAAAAATGATTTCTCAACTGATTACGCTTTAGTGCAATTTGGTTTGTTGGCCATTTAGTTACTCTGGTTGGATAATTAAAACTGAGGAACTAATTTTAAAAATGGTTCAGCAGTTTTTGAGTTTTCATTTAATTGTGACCGTTTTAGCGGTTACCGCTTTGGCTCGGGATCATGGTAAGTAGGGGAGAGAAATTTTGGATAAAACGAAGATGGATTATAATACAAATAATTGCCGATAGAAAAACTGACGAGACAATTTTATTTGATTGAAGTCATTTTGTGAAGAGAATATTTGTATGGGGATCTATAAGGACCGGTTTTTACGAAAATCGGTAGCTTCATTTAAATATATATTTATATAGTTTGATTAAAAAGGTTTATATCGACGGACGGACTTGGCAAAGTCGATTCACTAAATGATTCTGAACTTATTTTTATACTTTAAAGTGGCCTTTGGACCAATATTTCAACCAGTTCAAATCCCCACTATAGTATTTTATGTAAGAAGAAGTAGTTGACAGTCCAGAACATAAATATTTCCAACTTTTTGGTTCAAGATTTAGATCCGTGTAAGAAGTATTAGTAATATACTATATATGGATAAAGACCCAAAATATATTGGGGCTCCGAAATGAAAAGACATATTGGAGCTATATTTCAATTTGGATAGAGACTTCATATCTGTTAATTATTCCCCACCAGTATTGATTTGTTTGTATTAAATAAATAATTTCTTTCTTTAATCTTGTTTTTCTTGAGATAACAAATCGTGTTAGTAGATTGCGAATTGATAATATATTGCTTATGGAATTATCAAGAAAATAAAACTGTTTTATAATGTTATTAAATCAATAACCGCTACAACGCGCTGTGATTTCAAGGTCTAAATTTAAAAAGTATTATGTACTACCCAATCAAAACATGTGATTTTTGCTTTTAAGAACTTTAATCTTGGGAAATTTCTAAGAAAATTTCACTTTTATGAAATATATATACACTTCTTTGATTGACTTCTGATTGATTGCCATCAATCAGGGAGTCAAGGGCCCCTTGTCTCAGTTCTTTCTTCTAAGCCCTATTTTTCTGCTAACTATTATTCACTTGGACGGACAGACAAAAGACCGTTTGAAAATAGTATAAGGAACCAACCTTTTTATATATTTCCCGATTTCTATGACCGATATTAAATACATATAATTGTATATACCTTATAGATCACCCCACAATACGTGCTGCCAAACCCCACCCCCTAAAATATGAAGCCGAACGTAAAACCGAATTTTGGGTTAATAAAGCCCAAGATATACTGGCACAAAAGTTGGCACAGACTGAAACCTCCACCACCAATAAAGCCAAGAATATCATTATGTTTTTGGGTGACGGTATGTCGGTGCACACAGTAACGGCCACCAGAAATTTTATGGGTGACAGTTCGAAACAAGTATATTTTGAAAAATTCCCCTATTTTGGTCTATCGAAAACCTATTGTGTTGATCGTCAAGTAGCAGATTCAGCCTGCACGGCTACCGCCTATTTGGGAGGTGTTAAAGGTAACTACGGCACAATTGGGGTTAACTCGAACGTTCAGCGTTACAGCTGTTTCGATGGTCAAAATCCTGCCAATTGGGTAGATAGTATTGCTAAGTGGGCTCAAGATGCCGGTAAAGATGCTGGTCTGGTGACAACAGCACGTGTTACTCACGCTTCGCCAGCGGGGGTATATGCCCATATAGCTCAACGTGGTTGGGAAAATGATGCTGAGATCATAGCTGCCGGTTGTAGTGCAAAAGATAATGTGGATATTGCCCGCCAATTGGTCGAATGGGAAGTAGGACGTAAACTTAAGGTAATCATGGGTGGTGGTCGTCGTAATTTCCTGGGAGCCAATGCCAGAGATGAGGAAGGTATACCCGGTGAACGTGCTGATGGTCGTAATTTGATTGAAGAATGGTTAGAAGATAAACGTAAACAAAATGTCAGTGCCAGTTATGCTT